CAGGGAGAGTGCGAGTTAGTTTTTTTTAAAAGGTGTTTCCCTTGTCAAGTTGTCTTGGCTGCAGTGAATGGCCACACATCCAAGAATATATGGGCAGCACAGATTGAACATGGAGAGTGTGGAGAAAATAAAAATAAAATTAAAAAGGGATACAAAGTTCAGTCAGTAGGGTAGGGAGATGTGACAGGAAGAGTTGGCAGAATTAGATAAATAGGATCAAAATATATTGTATGAAATTCTCTAGAAACCATCTCACAAATATTTATAAAACAACATGAAATAAAAGTTTAAATGGATTATGAAGTTAAATGCAAAACATAAAACTTCTATTTCTTCAAAAGTAAAGTAGATGAAATCCTGGTATAATTATAGCATTTTAGATAAAAACCAAATTGAAAAAAGCATTTGTTAATGTCATAGTTTGTTTCTAACTGCCACTCAAAGTGACACGCTAAAGGGCTTATTACCAATTGGTTGCTCCTACTGGGAGCTGGAATCAGCTGATCATGGACTGAATTCTCAGATACTCTAAACATCATCAAGTTTTTCTCCATTAAGCTGATTTTCTCAGATATTTAATTACAGTGATAGGAAACTGACCAGTACCATTTCACTCAATGTAAAAATCTCCGCTCTTTAAAAGGCAAAATGAAGAGAACAGGAAGCTGATTTGTTGGCTTGGAGAAAATATAAAATATGTAATAGAGTAGTGTCATTCAAAACACAAGCAACCTTTAAAAACCAATAGAATGAAATTGAACAGCACACTTGAAGACTGGGTCAAAAATTCTGGTAAGCTCTTCACAAGAATTTACAGATTGATTATAGGTTTAGAAAACATTTCTTTTTTTCTCTTTTTCTTTTTTTACATGATGTGTCATTTTGGAAACTCAAGTGAAAGCAATCAAGAATTATTATTATTATTATTTTTGAGTAACATCTGTGTTCCTAACAATACTCCATGCTTATAAATTCCAATAGGCTAACACCATTTATGAAGACTGGGTTTTCTGAAAAACTATATATTTATGCATATGAATATGCAATCATATCCCTTGGTATTTTCACAAAGGAGTTGCAAAGTAATGTTCACAGAAACATCTGCATACAGGTGGCCTTGAAGCTTTTTCATATTTGCTAAATAAAGTGGAGGTAAATAAGATACCTATTGTGTCCTTGAATCTGAAATGAGCTCCTGTATTTGGACACTTGTGTTCCAGTTGGTGGCGCTGGTGGACATAGAAACAGCTTTTAAGAAAACATTGACTCTAGTTTTACCCACAGTAACTGAAACAGGGTAAGACTGACATCTCTGCCTTCATTGTGTCTGTACTTGGCCTGAAGTCACAGAGGTACGTTATTGTCCGTAACATTTCCTCTTGAGCGGTATTGAATCCCAGAAGAGGAAAACTCAGAGGAATAAACTAATAACCTCTTAGATGAGAATTTTTTATGAGGGCAAGGTTCCATTCCCTGTGATGGGTGAAAAGATGACCAATTTAACAATTATGGGACCACCTTGCAGGGGTGACCACCTTCTAGTTTCTGAGACTTTGATGAATCCATGATGTGCAGAACCACACCAGACCAGGATGGCTCAATCATGCATACATTTTTCTCTCTCTTTGAATCTATATCTCCCATGCTAATACCCTAGTGACAAATTTAAGGACCACTGATTTCCCTGCATGTGTTCATCTCAACATGACCACGTAGAGCAAATATCCTGTATCTTTTCATTTTATTTAAACCATTATATATTTCTTTACCTAGATGCCAAGCTTCTTTGGAAATGCTGTATTCCTGGTTTTCATCCTAACAGCTTTGGTAAGATACTTAGTGTCAAGCTTCACTCTTTACAGATTGACCTTACTTCCTAAAGTGTATAAAGAATATAAAATACTGAATAAAGAATCATGCAAAAGTTAGACAAGACCTTATTTAATCATGTAAAAGTTAGCTCCATCCCTTTGAACTGAAGTCAGGCCAGACCTAGCCAATTCAGATTCCAGGTCATTGTCTCATAAAAGATTACTGTAATTATTTAGTCACGATGAATTATTAAAATCAAAATAGTAAATGAAACTTTAAGTTTTTCCTGCTCCTGAACTTTGTTTGACCCTCCACCAGAGACAGGTTATAACTAACTCTTCTTTTTTCTCTCCTAGCTCAATTCAGGGAAACCAATCTGTAAGTAGTTGATTGGCTCCTATTGGCCTCTTCCTAGTCGTGTCCATCCTCCCATACAAGAAAAACCCTGTTCTGGGCCAGTAATATGGTTCAGTGACTACTCGCCACACAAGCCTGACAACGGGAATTTGAACCCTGGGACCCACATAAACGTCAAAGAAGATAGTCCACAGAGCTGTCCTCTGACCTCCTCTTGTGAGTTGTAGCAAGTATGCTTTCCCCATCATGCAAAAGCCACACATTAACAACAAAACATTACAAATATAAGTAAAGATCCCTTTCCCCATGGCGTTTGTTATGATTATAAGATGTTAATATTGCATTAGTTTTCTTGTTACAAATGTCCTTTTATATTTTCTGCAATAAGTTTTCAAAAATGTGGTCTTGATTTTATTTGGTCACACAAATGATCAAGTTAGTTTTTGTTTACCATATGTCTCCATTATCTTCACTAAAATAATTTTAGTTTTATTATTATTGTAATAGTTTTAAGAATATTCAGAAATTTGTACTTACTTTGTCTCCTTAATGTTTGCACTTTGTGAAAATGAGGAAGTTGTTGGGATTGTCCTCTCCTTCTCCCTCCTCCAAATGACTAGGTTTCACTGTAGGTCTGCTTTCTCCTGCTGTGACAGACAGAGCAGAGGCTAATGTTTTTCCTTCTTGCTCAAGTTATTTCCCTCACCTTTCAGTGACCCTTCTCTTTTGCACAGTATGCTAATGTCTAAGAGTAGTACACTTGTCATCTCCCTTCATTTCAGATTGCCTTGTCACTTGAAAACATGTAATGTGCTTTTCTGAAAAGAAAATGCATCTACCGGTTCCAGAGGAAAAGGTCTTAGGTCCAACTAAAACTTGTGAGAATGCAAGAAACTTTGCTTGAAGAGGAGAAGCTTTCTTTTTTTTTTTTTTTTTTATCCTGGGGTTACATAAAAAGTCCTCCACATCACTAACACTTGAAGATGGAAGTCATAGATAGACAGTAAAGTCCGTTTTCTTTGGGGTTGGCTTCATTTCATGTTTTTGGGGGAGCAATTGGCAATGTGAACTTCAGATTCAGTACCAAATTATTTTTGTAGTATCAGCATGTCATAATCACTGTGTTTCTAATGGCTCCTTTAACCTTCCAGCAATTTCTATTTGGTGTTATCTATTCCGTTTTGAACTTACTGTACATCCTGCTTCCCACCTATTCTTCCACTTACCTGTCTCCTTGAGGCAAGTCTGCTGCTCCAGAGAGAAGTGCAGGAAGAGTGTGATCCTTCCAGGAGGAGGCAATGCTGTAGACTGCCAGCTACATCTCTGACAGCGGGCTTTATATAAGGGCAGGGGCAGAATTTACTCTCAGCAGGGCAATCTTCCAAGTCCTCCTTGCTGGAAGGAGTCTTCTGTTATTTCTGTTTATATCATGAGTTGTGTCTCTAGGGAATGCAGAGTACAGTATATAAATAACTAATATTACATAAAAATTAAGGATCTCTTTTTTTTATTTTGGAGTTTGAGGGAAAACCGAAACAGGAAAGACAGCTAGATATCTTAGTAGCTTTTAGGAAGAGGAAGCTAGATGAGAGTAGAAAGCCATGCTTTTTGAATCAGAGGTCACAAAATCAGGCAGGTGCTGGGGAGATAACTCTGTGGATAAAGTGCTGACTATGCAGGATTAGGACCAATGTACACATCTCCAGAATCCACATAAATGTTAGGCATAGAAAAGGGTATATCTAATACAAGCAAATAAGAGACAGCGACAACTAGGAGCAAGATAACTAGCTAAATTAACCAGAATTGCTTAGTTCCAAAGGAAAATCATCAGAGCTCAGGTTTGGAAGAGGATTTGAGGGTAAGCTGGACACTTTTTTCTACAAAGTAGTTAGAAGAGAAATGAACATTTATCTAAGTGATTGTTGCTTGCAATGGACTATGAGTTTATAAGTAACTTAAAGGCTTTCCATTTGAGAATATGGTTGGATTGGAAGAAAATTTGAAGAAATTATAACAAATAGGACATTGAAATACTCCATGAAACTTCAAGTAATCCCTATGGGAATAACATTTTAAAATACATTCTTTTGAAATTTGTGGTTGAAGACCTTTGATTTGAATGTAAGAATATCTTTACCTCCGCACTTACTTTAGGAGTTGATTCAGATATTTGTCTATAAGACAGATAACCACGTTTCTAGGGAAAGTATAGTTTACCATGGAGTAAGGAAGGAACTTGACTGTCAACAGAGGATGTTCCTCCTTGCTTCTTAGCAGCATTTGGTCTTTTTATTTGCACAACTATTGCTTAAAGTGGCCTCAGGGACTCAACCCACTCCAGGATAGCTAGAGTAAAGCAGTTTTTTTCCTTCCATCCTGGCTCCAGTGTACACAGCATGCCAGTCTCCACACACAATAATACTGAGGACTGGGAAAGCTTTCCCAAGGCCCTGAATGTACACACAAAAAAAATGACTGTGCTACCAAGTCTTCTTACTTCAAAATTTCAATGGAGCACAAATTGGGAAATGACAGCACAAGAAAAAAGGCAGAAAAAAGAAAACAAAAAAGGAAAACATTTTTGTAAAAAGCTTGCTAAAAACACTGGTTAATCAACAGACACACAGTAGACTTACAACTCTCCTTTCACCCATGAATGAATATAAATAAGCATTACTGAGAAAAGAACTTTGAGTGAGAAACGAAACTGAAAGCCTCTGTTCAGTAGTGAGGCAGGGCCGGCCTAAAAATAAGAGGAAACTATTAACTGATGTTTTGGGATGGGGGGAGGCTGAACCTACACTAAACTCCCTTCAAGACTGACTTACTCGAACTCCAAATAGTTTGGAGAGTTGGAATTCTGTATGTCACATGTTATCTTTGGCTTCTTAGCCCCTAAAATATATATTTTTGTCTGCTTTTGTATTTGTCCTTGTTGCAGGGAGGAGCTGCTTATTCATCTCTGCCATCCGGTTAGCTTAGCCCTGAAATAACCACACAGAAATTGTATTAATTTCAAGAAGTCCTTGTTTTTTACTGCTGAGTAGTACTCTAATATGTATATATTCCATACTTTCTCCATCCATTCTTCCATTGAAGGGCATCTAGGTTGTTTCCAGGTTCTGGCTATTACAAACAATGTTGCTATGAACATAGTTGAGCATATACTTTTGTTGTATGATAGGGCCTCTCTTGGGTATATTCCCAAGAGTGGTATTGCTGGGTCCAGGGGTAGGTTGATCCTGAATTTCCTGAGAAACTGCCACACTGCTTTCCAAAGTGGTTGCACAAGTTTGCATTCCATTGAAGTTTGCATACTAATGGATGGAAATAGAAAACACTATCCTGAGTGAGGTAAGCCAGATCCAAAAAGAGGAACATGGGATGTACTCATATTTGGTTTCTAGCCATAAATAAAGGACATTGAGCGTAGAATTAGTGATCCTAGAGAAGCTAAATAAGAAGGAGAACCCAAAGAAAAACATATAAGCATCCTCCTGAATATTAACCTTCATCAGGCGATGAAAGGAGACAGAGACAGAGACCCACATTGGAGCACCGGACTGAAACCTCAAGGTCCAAATCAGAAGCAGAAGGAGAGAGAGCTCGAGCAAGGAACTCAGGACGGTGAGGGGTGCACCCACACATTGAGACAATGGGATGTTCTATCGGGAACTCACCAAGGCCAGCTGGCCCGGGTCTGAAAAAGCATGGGATAAAACTGGACTTGCTGAACATAGTGGACAATGAGGACTACTGAGAACTCAAGAACAATGGCAATGGGTTTTTGATTCTATTGCATGTACTGGCTATGTGGGAGCCTAGGCAGTTTGGATGCTCACCTTACTAGACCTGGATTGAGGTGGGTGGTCCTTGGACTTCCCACAGGTCAGGGAACCCTGATTGTTCTTTGGGCTGATGAGGAGGGGGACTTGATNCCTTTTATTGGATAAATCTCACGTCTTGATTGAACCCATTTCTATTAATTTGTATATCGCCATGTGGCAGTGGCTTACCGGGAAAGATTCAGCATGTCTGACTCTGGTGGCTCTCTCCTACTTCACCTTTCTTCCTCCCAGCATTCAGTTTTTACATATATTCTCCTATCCCATCCTCCATGTCTCAACTGTTCTTATAGTTATAGAATGCTACATTCCAGCAAGAACTGGCCAAAGTCAAGCTTCCTTTTGGTTAGCAGGACTGCTTTTGTATAAACAAAAAACAGAAGGGAGAGGCAATACACAGAGTTAAAATTTAGGTGTTAACCTTGCAAAAAAACTCTGGATAGAAGTGGCATCTCTACCCTAGAAAACTTGGAGAGATTGCAGAAGACTCTTTTATCCCAGATGCTCAGTGGGATGAAAGAGAACATTTTCTTCTTTCCCCCAGGGTTCAAAGCATAGTCAGACCAATGTGCTAGGGCATGCCCAAAGGACTACTGCTAGGAATGGAAATTGTGCCACCCATGTAAACAGGTGAAAATCCTGAGATTACACAACAGCAAAGCATAACAGCAGAACAGAGCAGAGAGGAAAGGGTTCTCCAAGCCAGAGGCCACAGAGTCTGTGTCCTGGGTTGGAATGTAAAACAGACTACAAAGCACATCTGAAGTTTTTAAAATTCATTTTTCATTCCATCCACAGTTTCCCTCTCCCACCTTCTCCCTCATTTCCTATCCACTCCTCAAAGAGGGTAAGGCCTCCCGTGGGCATCAACTAAGCCTGGCAAATCTAGTTGAGACAGGACCAAGTCCTTCCTTCATTCCTCTTCTCCCCCACTGGGCATCAAGGCTCTGCAAGGTATCACACCATAGGGAATGCCAGAGGCAAAGAAGTTTTAACACAGGAAGGAAAACCAGAAAGTAAGTGACCTCAGATTGCTACTTATGTGAAAGCTTTCTGGGTTTGCAGGGATCCAGGAAATGGGAAAGCACCCAAGTGCAATCATTTTGCATCCAGGAGTCGTTTTTTCAGACCTGGAATTCTAGGGCCCTCCAGTCCCAAGCTGCAGGAGGACATCTAGGTAATTTCTATTAGATAGAAAGTGTCAGTGCTGTCCTGTCACACACATTACTAGAGCATCAGTCCTTTTGCTGGTGTTGTTTTATTTAATTTTATCATATATATTTAATTTATATAACCACACACTAAGTTTAACCAAAACCAAAATCTATACACATCTTTAAACTTCTATACAGTCAGAATGTACTTTATGAAGCTATTGGTCTTCACATCGGATTTCACATTTTCACTGATAATTATGTTTAGATTCACTTATCCATCACCAAACAACAACAAAATCCATCTCAGAGTTAGAATTTAGAAAAACAATCTTGATATTCAACTTGATATCATCTTTCATAATGTATGTCCATTACCTCCATCAGTCCTTTCTCATCTTCTTATCTATCCTTCTATCTATCTATCTATCTATCTATCTATCTATCTATCTATCTATCTATCTATCATCTATCTATCTCTATCTACAGTTTTCATTATCCATTCACCTGTTGATGGACATCTTGATTGATTCCAGTTTTTTGCCCTAGTGAATACAGGAGTGGTATAAGCAAAGGTATGGTGGAAACTGAAGAGTATAATGATGTAATTACAATGTATTATATTCTCAAAAATTAGAAATAATTAAAAAACCTTGCAAGTGAAAGTTTCTTTTGTAGGGTAAGGAGCTCTCTGAATATATGTCCAGGAGAGTGAAACAATTGAGCCATATGATAGTTATATTTTTAAGTTTTTGAAAAATATCCAAACTGATTTCAACCTGACTTTATTTTCGCCCCCACCAATAGTGTAAAAAGAGTCTTCTCTCCCCACATCCTGTCATTTATTCTCAGATTTGTTGATGAGAGTCATTATGACCCGACTCAAGTGGTCTCTCAAAGTGGTTTTAGTTTGCATTTTCCTGACAACCAGTGATATGAAATTAGTCATTTTTCTTGATACTCATTGATCACTTTTCTTTCTTTTTTCCTTTCTTTCTTTTTCTTCCTTCCTCCTTTCCTTACTTCCTTTCTTTTCTTTCTTTCTATTCTTAAACTGTCTGTTCACTTCATGTGCCAGTTTGTTGATTGGCATTTTAATTTCACTGGTACTAAAGTCTTTGTTCCATATCGAAATGATTGTTGTATGATGGATAAAATGAATCCACGCTCATTTTTTTTGCGAATAGAATCCAGGTTTGGCAGCACCATTCATTGAATATACTGCCTCTTTTTAATGGATATTTTGCTTTTCTTGTCAAAAATTAACTGGGCATAGCTTTGTCACTTTATTTCTGGATCTTTATTCTATTTCACTGGTTTACCAGTTTATTTTCCCATGCTACTACCATGTTGTCTCTATTACTGTATCATTCATTATTTTCTATTTTTCTTTTCACGGTGAAAAGATTTTTTTCCTCAAATAATATATTCTGATTATTTTTCCCACTCTATCTACTTCTGCTACTTACTGCCTATTTCCACTCCCATTGGGACTCATTCTCTTTTGCCTTTCATTAAAAAATAGACAGGTTTCTAAAGGATTTTTATATAATTATAATGATAAAATAGATTTTAATGCATTGGAATTAATAAACAGAAACAAAAAACTCAAGAAAAGGCACAAGAGTCAGAGATGTACTTGTTTTGTACACTAGGCAATACCATAAATATACTAAACTATAAATAATAGTTTTATGTTGAGGACTTGATTAATTTGGGGTTGAATTTTGTTCAGGGTAATATGTATGGATGTATTTGGATTCTTCTTCTTCTTTATCTTTATTTTTTGCTACTACACTGTTTGGCCTATTAGCTTAGGCTTCATATTAACTAACTCTTACATCTTAAATTAACCCTATTACTTATGTATCTCCACGAGGCTGTGACTTACAGAGTAAAATTCCAGAATGTCCTTCTCTTTCAGCAGCTACATGGTATCTCCCTGACTTTGACTACTCTCTATATCTCTTTCAACCTGGCTGTATTTGGATTCTTCTACATAAATACATCTAGTTTGACAAGCACCAGCTGTGGAATATATCTTTTTTCCCAATGTGTGTTTCTGGCTTCATTACAAAAAATTAGTTGTCACTAGGAATTTGGATTTATGTCTGGTCTTCATTTTGATTCCATTGATTGGTATGTCTGTTTTTGAGCCAATACCATTCAGTTCCTATGACTTTAGCTCTGTAGTACAGCTTGAAATCAGGGATAGTGGATACATCCAGCTAATGCAGCTAAAAATAATTCTTTTATTATTCAGGACTGGTTAAGGTATTCTGTGTCTATGTATTTCCATATGACGCTGAACAGTTTCTTTTCAAGAGAATCTTTAAACTACACACTATTCAAAAGCCTTCATTCTGAGAAGACTGAATCAACCTACAGAGATTTCTTATCATATCTCCATGTAGGGCACGGTATAAGAATAGGAACAAAGGCAGTTAGTCATCCAAAGCCTAGTCCTGTCAAGCACCCAGCTTTATCTTTGAGATTGGTAGTGTTGGTGCCTCTCTCACTGGCTTGCTCTGGACTTGGCATACACCGCCGTCTCTGTGCATCTGGGTTTGCTAATTCTTATGACTGCTGAGTCTTGTTTCCCTCCAGTCCACATCACCTGCTCTAGGTGATCTGCAACTCGGAACTAAGAGAAACATTTAGTAGCATGTCCTTATGGGGCTGTTCATAATTTTTACCTGCATATTTTTTAGAACTTGAAGCAGAAATGTATCCTAATAGTATAGAAGATAATTGTGTCTCTTTCCATACACTTTTTCCATCTAAATATCCTGTAATTTTTACCAAGAAATGGATATCTTTTTCCAGATAAATAAAAGACAAAGACTTTTTATGTTTATGTTTTAATATGTGAACAACAACCTTTTTAAAGTTCAGAATTAACATATTCAGAATTAATTATTAACTACCATTGAAAAAATGACTGAATAAAAAGATTTTTTTATGTTTTCTCTATAGAGACATTTTAAATTGATGCACATATATAATCATTTGTTATTTTAATGTTTTGTTGCTTAAAGACTCTTCTCTAAGACACAACTTACAGTGGGGTGAAATAGACTTTATGTAAAAACCATCAATTATAGATAATTGTTGTCACACTAAAATACTTGCTTCCTAACATTATGATATTAGAGCTCTTTCTGCTCTGGTAGATGCAAATCTTTCTCCCTTGCACTGCAACAGATTACCATCTACAGCCTCTCTTCATTTTTGCCCAGACCTCCTGTGGATCCTATAGACCATCCCCTCCTAACCTCACCCACCCCCCACACACTTGTTGCAGTATCCCAGACCCCAGTTCCAGCAGGCACCTCCTACTCAAAAATAGGCCATGCCAGGCAGGCTTCCCATAGCCCTTCTCCTCTCTCCCTCCTTGGTTCCCTAGACCCCATCTCTCAGTTTTGTCCCTAGTGCTATAACAGATCACCAGCAGCAGACACCCCGCATCCATGTTAACAGTTCCTGTGGACTGCAGGAACCATACCCTTCTAACCTCCTGCCACTCATCACTGTATCCCAGTCTTTAGTCCAGCGACTATTCCCTGTGAACACACCTGCTGAGCATCCCTGAAAACACAGGCAACTAACCAGGGAACAAAGCACCTGCCTATCATAGATAAACACATAAATCAGTGCCTAGAGCTACTACCATCCCAAACCTAGATGTCAAGACAACAAAATAAAAAAATAATCAGTAGAGCTCTCCAGGGAGAGACTACTATGTCACCACAGCAGAGCCTGAATATTTCAACATAAATGAAGCTCTAGAAAAAGACCTTAAATCTAACTATATGAAGATAATAGAGGTCCTGGAAGAAGAAACTGATAAGCCCCTAAAAGGAATCCAAGAAAACACAAACAATCAAAGGAAATAAATAAAATAATTCCTTAAAAAAGCCAGCAAAATACAA